CATGCCTAAATGCACTGAGTTGCTGCCATGTGATTGGCTGATTAGAAATTAAGTGTTAACGAGCAGTTGGACAGGTGTACCTAATAAAGTGGCTGGTGAGTGTATTTTATGTCAGAAATTTACTTTTGATACTTAAGTACAAAAAATGTTTGATACTTTAAGACTTTTACTCAAGTAATATTCTTAGAGAAGACTTTAACTTTTACAAAAGTAATTTTATGACAATATACTTGTACTTTTACTCAAGTTTCACTTTTAGGTATTTTATACAACACTGCTCATGTCATGATCAGATCGATGCTTTTATTATTTTCTCGTTTACGTTTCATCCTTTTGGTAGAGACTCCTGTGATTTTTAGAGGACGAAAGGACAATTTTGATCTGTAGGATCGCAGATAATATTTATTGAATAAAACACAGTACAGTACCAGATGTGTCCTTTGTTTCATTATTTTGAGTTATGATACTTTTATAGTCCAAATTTAGTTTTATCATTTTGACTACATCAAATTAGGATTATGACACAAAATGTGAATTGTGAACTAGTTGGTATAAATTAAATTAACGACACAATAACAAAGTTTATTATTGTCCTCCTGGGTCAGTTTGTGTTGACTCTAAATGCCATCACAAAAAACCACATCGAAACAGCAGCGCAATAAAACACTATTAAATAAAATCTATATTGAGATGAAACGCCTGCATTTGTTCAATAATAATTTTCTGTTTTCTACACAGAATAATAAATATCAGTCAAGGTGTTTTAGATTCACAGTGAAATTTATCGTTTTTCTCTCTCTCTCTGTTTTCTTCCTCTCATCAGTTCCCACCATCTTCCTGGGGAAGAAGCCCAAAGAAAAGGACGTGGACTCCAAGAGCCAGGTCATTGAAGGCATCAGCCGACTCATCTGCTCTGCGAAGCAGCACCAGACCTTCCTGAAAGGTGACCTGAACACAGAGGGCCACTCAGTGTGTCTCAGTTTGGTTCCTTCTAAGTCTGAAGAAGTTGGGTCGTTGAGTCAACTGCAGATCTCATGAACTCATACTTTTCTCACAGTGGAACAAAGAAAACATCACATGTTGAGATAAGAATGTGTTTGTAAATAAATAGTCTTTTAGTATTTTTTGACAACAGCAACAGGGACGTGTTTATTTCTGTGGAGCATCCCCTGTTCTTTTAACATTAGCACAGTTTTCTTATTAACATCTGGTGGACTGGATGTTAATATGTTAAATATTAGCGGTTTAGCTTTAGCTTCCTCCAATATTTTTGTCAATTTGACTTTTTATCATTAGCAAAACTAAAGAATTCTTGTAGCGGTTTAGATGTTAGTGAAGCTAATGTTTTGGTTAACAAAACAAAAGTGTTGTGTTTATATTTTTGGTCGGTGTATTATTTCTTTCAAAATGGTCCAATTTCATTAAATGAATAATTTGATATGTTTAATAT